CAAAGACAACGCTGCTGTTAAAAAGACTTTTTATGCAGCTAATATCATAATAATAGAGAATGTGAAGTCAATATACCTATCTAAGCACTTCGAACATGCGAAAAATGACGTCACATCCCACTGTAATTACCGATTTGAATGTACGTGTGAACACACATACATAGGGAGGACTCATCGATCTCTGCAAGTAAGGGGGCTTCAGAGCATATTCCTAAATGTCTCCAGAAACAAATGGAATCATCAGAACCTATTAACGGTGAGAACAGGAGATTTAGCTCTTCTATTGCGAAATATATTATAGAGACAGGTCATAACATTGATGTTAACAGATCTTTTAAACCTATCTATAAAACGTGTTTAGGGCGTATCCTAAAGTTTGTAGAAGCCCTAGCAATTAGAAAGTTCAAGCCACCTTTATGCGTTCAACAACAATTCGTCATCACATTAAACCTTCCTCTGTAAATTTTGTTTTGATACCATAGCAGATGTACTATTACCTCTGCTACTTGGTTTAGTGGTCTTCATTGTTATTTTGACCTTGAATATGTCCTTTTAAATTGGTCTAAGTAGTCTATTTTCTCACCTCTTACCTCTTTATTAATTTCATATATATTCCTATGAAAAGTCCGTGTGTGATCAGATTGTTCGAAATGTGTTGTCCGTGGAAATACATTACACGATTGAGACAAATTACGTCTTATTATTGCTTTATCTAAATCCGCTTCATTTAAATTAATTTGTTCAATTAATTAATTAATTAATAGATCATTCAGTTAAATGTATTATTTCCAGTTTGAAAATATAAACGAATTACTAACGTGAACATGGTTCCCATTATCAGTTGAAAAATCAAATGATACTTTAAAAAGAAAGAGAGAAAGCTCTAAGAAACAAAAAATAAAAGAAAAGAAATACACTTTAATGCACATGCGTGAATGTCTGACACACAACGTCATGAGAGATAGATGCCAAGATTTTCTTCTTTTTTTTGCCAATGCCTTAGTCACACATTTAACCAACTGACATAGAAAGACTTTACTATGTGTAATTCTTTTTTTATTATAAACTGATGTGTTTTGGGTATTAGAATTTGATGAATAGATTTTCTATTTATTTGAATTGGTTATTGTTGAACTGTGTTGAACTGGAATTCCAGCCCCACCTAAATAACTTAAAAAAAAGAGGAAATATTGTTTGAAAGAAGATTATTATTATTATTATTGTATCCTTTAGTTCCTAGAGGAACATAGGGCTTCAGCTGCGCACCTCCATTGCCTTCGGTTTTCTGACAACTTTTTCACCCGCTCCAGGTCTGTCCACATGCTTTCATCTTCTCTTCACATCACCTTCCCCAAGTCACCCTTGCACTGACGACCAACTCGCCGCCTCCCTTTCGGGTTCCACTCGAGCAGTGGCTTGTCTAGTGATGTCACTTGATGGTTTCCTCAGCGTATGGCCAATCCATCTCCACTTCTTCCTGCCTATTTGTTTCACAATCGGTTCCTGATTGGTTCGCTCCCAGAGATCCCTGTTGCTGGTCTTTTCTGGCCATCTGATCTTGAGTAGTATTGAGCGAAGACAGCTGTTGATGAAGGTCTGTAGTTTGTTTGAGATGCTCTTTATGACTCGCCAAGTCTCTGATCCGTATAGTAGCACTGACTTCACACATTGGAGTTGAAAATCCGGATCTTATTTTTGATGCTGAGTGCTGTTGACCTCCACACAGATTTGAGAGTAATGAAAGCTTGTCTTGCTTTTCCGATTCTGGCTTTGATATCCTCGTCAGTTCCGCCTGTAGTTGAGACGATGCTTCCCAACTGGGTGAAGGAGGCTGTTTCTTTCAGGTTCCTCCCATTTATGCTGATTGTTGTCTGTTGTTGTTGATGATGTTGGCTAGGAATCTTCATCACCTCTGTTTTATCTATGTTCACTCGAAGTCCTATCTTTGATGCTTCTTCTGCCAACTTGTTACTTTTCACTTGCATATCTTCCAGTTTGTGGGAAATCAGACATATATCATCGGCGAAATCCAGATCCTCCAAGTCTTTTGTGTCAGTCCATTTTATGCCTGTTCCATCGTTGGTTGCCGTTGTCTGTCGCATTATCCAATCGATTGCAATCAGGAAGATCATTGGTGATAGTAGACAGCCTTGTCGCACTCCCGTCCTCATTTCGAAGGATTCCGTAAGTTTCCCGTTGTGGAATACTTTGAATGCAGCATTATCGTATAACTGTTGGATGAGATGTATAATTGTCGATGGGACCCCGTAGTAGCGAAGTAGTTGCCAAATGACCTCTCGATCGACGCTGTCGAAGGCAAGAAGAAGTGAAAGAAGAAGTTCTTGGAAAATACCCATATCGACATTAGAAAGAAGAGAACAAGAAGTTCAGCAAAGATGGCGGTCTTTTCGGCGATTTCATTCTCAAAAGCAGCTGTACAATCGCATTTATATACATCAATTTACATGGATACAATTATTATTTATTTAATTCCACATAGTAGTGAAAGGGAGAGTAATTAATTTTCAACTTGATATGGCAGTTCGAAGGTATGAATATAGATTACAAGGAGCTTAGAGACAAGATTTCATAGGATTAGAAAACAGTAACAACGTATACAAAATTAATATATGTGAAAAACTTGGTCTTCTTGTACGAGGAATAATCAATAAACTCACTCGACTTTCACAAACTGAAGCAAGATATGAAAATCACCGTATTTTTAATATTCGATGCTTAAAAAATGAAATCATCCCTAAATATCTACATCTACGAGCTCCAGTTCCAACGGACAGAGTAAGAAACAGAATAGAAAGTCTACAAAAATTATGCCTGAAAGAAGAGATCCACAGAATCGTTAGAAATCTGCAACAAATCAGATGTGAAATTGAGCAATTAAAACAAAAGCTAAAAGGAATAGTTACCAATGTAGATTATGACCTTACAACACAATTCTCCAACAATGCATAATCAGCCACTTTCAAAAAGTCGAAAAATAGTCAAATCAAAAAGTTCAACAAATTATTAGAGGAGAAATCTTCATCTCAGAATAATGAAGTCAACAATCCAAAATCAACGGGGATCGATAAATCAAAGTGGGTTATCAATCTCTCATCACATATATTAAGTCCTATGGAAATAAGTGTATTAGAAAAGGGACTAAACTCCAATGTAGCGGTGGACAAGCTGAAACCTGAGGATGTCATCCCTAAAATAGAAACAGCACTAAGTGGGATAGAAAAAACAACAGCTGAAGAAGTATGTGCACAATGTGCACTTACATTAAAACGACAGAAATGTGGAAAGCCTAACCTGACAAAACAAGAGACAGAAGCCCTGAAACACCTTAAGAATAACAAGGATATAGTTATCACAAATTCAGACAAAGGAAATGCAACAGTAGTATTGGTGAACTGGTAGATGCACATGGAGGCGGTCAGACGGAGGAGCTTATCTTTTACAGAGGTAGGGAACAATTTGCGGCTCGTGAACGTCATATGTAATCTAGCTGCAGGGAACGTTTTACTAACTGATTTAGAAAGACGATTTTTGAGCATATCTGAAGCTTGATCTCCTTTGAATTCCAAGTTCACGAATAAGGTTTTCTTTGGAACTGAGTCGGGGACCAGTTAAGACTGCTAATCTTTCATGTTGCTGTCAATAAATCGGTTAGGGTAACCGTTTTCTGCGAGTGTGACTTTCAGGAAGTCAAGTTCTGAGTCGACGCGATCAGAACTACAAATTTTCCTTATCCTAAAGCAGAGTGAATGGATTAAATTCCTTTTCCTGGAAATAGGCACCCAACTGTTGGGTGCAACATGAAAGATAAGCAGTCTAAACTGGTCCCCGACTCAGTTCCAAAGAAAACCTTATTCGTGAACTTGGAATTCAAAGGAGATCAAGCTTCTGATATGCTCAAAAATCGTCTTTCTAAATCAGTTAGTAAAACGTTCCCTGCAGCTAGATTACATATGACGTTCACGAGCCGCAAATTGTTCTCTACCTCTGTAAAAGATAAGCTCCTCCGTCTGACCGCCTCCATGTGCATCTACCAGTTCACCTGCTCTTGTGGAGCAAGGTACATTGGCCGTAGTCAGAGAATGCTCTCCACACGGATACGAGAACACATTCCAGCTTGGTTTTACGGGGGAGAAAGGAAATGTGTGCGAAGCTCTATCTTAGAACACCTCATCGACTCCTGTCACTCGGTCAACCCTGACCATGATTTCAAGGTCATATACAGAATTCATGCCAACTTCCCGCGTTTTCTTCGTTACAGACTTCTAAAGACAGCTGAGGCCTTGGCAATTCATGACTTTAAGCCAGACCTTTGTGTACAAAAGAAGTATGTACAATCCCTTCTGCTGCCTTGGCCGTAGAGGGATAGACTTTTATTTATTTTATTATTCTATGTACTTTTCCCTTATTACTTCGATTATTATTATTATTATTATTATTATTATCATTATTATTATTACGACTCTCATTCTGAATCTTTTCCACTTGACCTACTTGACATTTTAAACCAAAAATTATTCATGTGTATACTTTTTATTTTTACAATATTAAATTCTATGTTATCAAATTTCACACCATGTTACGTAACATTTTACATTCGTCTATTAATCTTACAATTATATGCCTCTCCCCAAAATCTATACACCTGATGTATTATCTTATACATGACATTAATTATTGTTCCACTTGACTTAAACTATGAACCTCATCACAAATATTTTAAATTTATTTCATAGTAATTTATTTCATACTATTATTATTTCATGTATTTACACCTTTGACCTGATTCCCTCACCGGATATAATTTCTTTATAAAACCATATATATACGATTGTACAGCTTGATAATAAATTCGTTGAAAAGAGTCTCTTCGCTGAAAATTGTGTTCTTAATGCTACAATGGGAATTATTAAATTATTCAAATTTATCAAATGGACCAATTGTTTGCTGATGAATTCACCATGTTTGCTGCTGCCAACTTCGACAACTCTCTATCCGTTATTACTGGAGACTTCAACACATCGGATTGTTCCTTTCTTGAAGCTCTTGGTCACACAAACATAGTCAAATTTCCCACTCGACTTGACAAAACACTCGACCTCGTTTTTACTAATGACGAAGGAGTATATGAAACACGAAGACGTTCACCGATACATAACTCCGATCACTGCATTGTCCGCGTTTTGCCAAAAATATACAGCAAAACACATATTAAAATCTTCTCACACCTGTCTACGAAAGCACAAGAAAGATGCTACACATCTGACAACTTACTCAATCTAAGATGCATGTTAAAAGATACCAACTGGGATCTATTCTATGAAAGTACATTAGATGACTCAATCACCAATATAATGGATTATCTTAAGTTCTGCCTCGACATATGCTGTCCCAAACAAACACTGTTCAAACGCCTCGACCGCTTCTCGTCTCCCCGTCTCAAACAACTTCGCAGGCAAAAAGAAATGTTATATAAATGCAAAGACAAGTTAGGTCTTAAAAAGATTAATGCTCAAATCAAATCTGAAATCAAAAATCTTAATGCTATCTATAACCAAACACTTTTATCATGCAAATCTCCTAACAGCATGTGGAAACTTTTCAATGAAATTACTGGCAAAAGTAAGCGATGTAATGTTTTTCCCTCTTGTGATGTTAATGCTCTTAATCTGTCTTTTTTACGCTCTCCTTCTACTATAACCACTTCTAACGTTACCAATCTTGTAGCTGATAACTTCCAGGACTTCAATACTCTCGATGTTTTGAAATGTCTTAAAACTCTTAAGCCCTCACATAGTCTTGGCCCTGATAGCATACCTGCATATGTTCTAAAACAATGTGCAGATGCTTTATGTTCTCCTCTAACTAATATACTAAATGCTTCTTTCCGTGAAAACGTTGTACCTGTTCCATGGAAAGACATTAAAATAGTCCCTGTCCCTAAACCTGGAAATAGCAAGAACGTAAAGTTCAGACCCATCGCCATCACTTCCCCGTTTCTAAAGCTCATGGAAAAACTAGTACTTCTTAAACTCGAACCCTCCCTTAAAAGCTTCGAAGACCCCAAACAATTTGCCTACAGACAGGGTAGGAGTACTTTAGACGCTGCAGCCGTCTTACACAACAGTATTATCTCATCATTAGACAAAGGTGCCAAATATGTCCGCTGCACGTTTCTTGACTTTACTTCTGCTTTCGACTCTGTACCTAGAAGTCTCTTGCTAAATAAGCTCTCCATGACACAAACCGAGTCCTGGGTCACTAACTGGTTGCATTCCTACTTTTCAAACAGAATGCAGTACACCGTATACAAAGGCCAATCCTCCTCTGCTGTGCTCACAGAAGCTGGTGTCCCCCAAGGTGCTGTACTCTCCCCACTTCTCTTTTCTTTCTTTCTACATGACCTACCGTCTTCAAATGACATTAACTTTGTCAAATATGCTGATGACCTAACTGTGTCTTTACCTGTCAAATGTCAAAGTGACTGCTCTAAACTAAATGGCTTCTTATCGGAAATTAGCCAATGGTCCAAGGAAAACGGTCTAACCTTAAACCCCTCCAAATGCCAAACAGTTAATTTCACCCTTAGGCATAAATCTGACCTAAACAAACTGGTTAGCACTCACGAGGTGTGCAACATAGATGGCAGTGAAATAGAAACCAAGTCGGAAATTAAATACCTAGGCGTCACTCTATCTTCTGATCTTTCCTGGTCGTCTCATATCTTGACGATTTCCAAGAAAATATACCGTCTTACCTTCTACATCAAGAAGTTAAGACATTCTGGTGTAACCCAACCCTTACTCCTACAATTTGTTAACTCCCGTATTCTGCCTATTATTCTCTATTGCTCCCCCTTAGTCTTTCCTGGGCTATTGAAGAAAGACTATACCTTATTACGTAGGATGTTAAAGGTTGTCAGCAGGGTAAGCAGCTTGCCACTTAGCCAGCTAGTTAATATTCTGGTGGACAGGCATATGGACTCATGTGAAAAATGGGCGAAATCCATTTTATCTGACTCACAACACCCTCTACATTCACAACTCTCCCCATGTATCTCTTCAGGGAAAACAAGAAGCCTATATAGGAAACTATATGCCCGCACTAGTAAGTACAAAAACTCATCCATACCCTACCTAGCTCGTGTTCTGTGCGATAAAGAATGCATCAGGCATGAAACCTTTAACTTATTAAATAGTCAGTAGAACCAATGGATCTTGTCTTTCCAACTCACATCATTTATAGGTACAACGTTTTCTCGCTCTTCATTCTGTATTTATTTTTGTTATGTGCTGTTTTGTTTCTCTCTTCCTTGCAAACTCTACTTAAAACATTCTTGTTCGTTCTTTCACACTCTGTACATCTCGAACATTTTGCTATCGCTTACGCCAGTAAATATGCTAGTAGTATCTACTTTTCTAACACCTTCAAACACTTTAATTTTGGCTTTGCTACCGACATACTAATATGTTGTTGAGATAACTTTAAACTATGTAGAACTTTATTTATTGTTAATGTAAAAAACTGGATGCAATATTGTAGTAAAATGCTGAGAATTCCATTCTGTATCACAAGTACTGATTTGGAATAAAGCTTATCTTATGTTATGTTATATGTTATGTTTTAGTTTAGTTTACAAATGTGCTAAATTTATTTATTCGCCTCTTTACGAAGGTTCCTTGTATTCTAATACTATTATCATATCTATATGTTTATAAATGTATTAATTCTACCAAATATAATACCAGTTTTTATGCTAATACGTGTACTTTGATGAATATTATTCACTTAATGATGGTGTTAACAGATTATCACTTACAAAACTTATAGATCGTATATTTGTTCAAATTGATATACGTTGTCAGTGTTCATGTCCGATTGGTTGGACGATTTCATCATGAGCTAACATCAGTAAGAGAACCATTGGAAGAGCCTCAGTAAGTACTGGGCAGCTCTTTCGCCAGCCTATTTTGGGACTCTTCATCAGTATGCACTCATCACACGGGGTTAGAACCCAGTAGCTTCAGGTTACGAGGCTAACGACTTCGTAGACCATTCAACAGTCTCTGGGACCCGATATAATGGCCAGTCCATGAGTTCCAGCTTCTGAAACTTCCAACTTCGTGCGAATCCACGCATGACATAGAACGACAACAAAAATCCCTACAAAACCAATACTTGACAATGTTCAAGTGTTTGTATATATATATATATATATATTTATATATATACTACTTTGATTATAGCTTGATTCCACACTGTATTTTGGAACAGGTATGGAATTTTCAGCGTGTGATATCGGTAGTCCAAATTTTGCAGGCCGACCATAGATATCAGGTGTTCGTCGGCAGGGGATTGAACCTCGGACCATGTGTATAGTCGGCGAGAGTCCTAACCACTGTGCCGACGCGCCGACGCACCGACACATACCAGACTGTGAGTCACAGTTGCTTCATGGAAGCTGATGATACTATTCATTTGCCCAGACTGAATTAATCTAGGCCAGCTTCAGACTCGCCATCCATTGACGAGAAGTCGAGCATTGTAGAAAATAAATGAAGTGCTTTGTTCACTGAGCGATTGTAAACATTTGTAACTATACAAGAGTAAGAAAGCCAAAAATTTAGGGAAGGAAAGAATTTTAACTGGATTATGGTGAGTAGCACTAAGCAGAGAAAGAAAGTTACGCAATGCTCAACTCCAGAGTTATGAGAAATATTTCACATACTCATTCAGAATACAAACCTTTATTTTGTGCACATTAACAACAGTCGCTTCTGATGTGTGATGGAGGTCAATGTAAATTCATGTTCAGCCAAGAGATTCTTTTCAACGAATTTATTATCAAGCTGTACAATCATATAAATGTGTATATGGTTTTTAAGGAGTTGTATCCGGTGAGGGAATCAGGTCAAAGGTGTGAATACATGAAATTATAATAATAGTAGTATGAAATGCAATTAAAATATTTGTGATTATAATCATGGTTTAAAGTCAAGTAGCAAAATAATTAATGTCATATATAAAATAATACATAAGGTGTATAGATTTTGGAGAGAGGTATATAATTATAAGATTACTAGACGAATATAAAATGTTACATAACATGGCGTGAAATTTGATAAGATGGAATTCAATATTGTAAAAATGAAAAATATAAAAATCAATAATTTTGGGTTTAAAATAACAAGTGGGTCAAGTGGAAAAGATTCAGAGTGAGAATAGTAATAATAATAGTGATAATGATAACAATCGTAGTAATAAGGGAAAGGTACATAGAATAACTAAATAAACAGAATAAATAAATGTCTATCCCTCTACGGCCAAGGCAGAAGTAAGGATTGTACGTACTTCTTTTGTACACAGCAACATGAAAGATAAGCAGTCTAAACTGGTAGTAAAAAGTAGGTAGGTAGTGATTAAAATTTAAAAAATGAGAATTAGCGTTGTTACAAGTTTGACCACGGATTGATATCAGTTACAGAACCATTGAAAAACCAGTCACACGAAGTACTGGACAGGCAGCTGTTTCATCCTAGTTTGGGAAGCATCACCAGTACTCACTCACCACAGAAGGTTCGAACTCAGGACCTTCTGATTACAAGGACAGTGAGCTTGTATACCATTCAGCCACTGGGATCCGACCCGGTTCAATGGCCAGCCAGCCAGTCAGCTCTTGAATTCTACCTTCTACTTATTCATGATTTAGCGCGACCACCAACCGTTGTCACCGGTGGGACACCCATTCTCACACGCTTGACTGAATGCACCTCACTGGTCACGACTTCTCACTGGAACTCCAGGGAACGCCTTCCTGTAGCAAGTTATTCACTAGCGAGCATTAGATTAATTTTCAAGAGTTTGTTTGAAAGGATTAGTTTTATTTTTACGAGTCAATCACGGACTGATATCAGTTAGAATTCATTAGCCACTGAATCGGGTCTCAGTGGCTTAATGGTATACGAGATTGCCTTGAAAGCACAAGGTCCTGGGTTCGAACCCCCTGTGGCGGCTGCGTACTGCCAATAATTCTCAAACTAGGATGAAACAGCTGGCTATCCAGTAATCCCTGTGGCTGGTTTTCAATGGTTCTCTAACTGATATCAATCCGTGAACAAACTCGTAAAAGCATATCTAATCCTTACAAATCAACGCTTGAAAATTAGTGTTGTTTTAATAATTGAGTCAGCCGCGTTGAAGTCGTCATGGTGACAGCTAAATAAACCCAGTTTACAATTTTTCTGGGATGTAGTAGCCAATTTCCATTCTTTGACTTAAGCATGAGGTTAAGTAAGACTTGATTACAGATTCAGGCTGAAGACTGCTTATTAGAAGGTGTGAATTTCGGTAAAATATGACGTTTAGCACTGCTGTCAAAGCGTCAAAGAAGTTCAATAACCGCGCTTCTTATTGCTCCACTTCCACCTCTTTGTAATCATGCAGGATAGTGTTCTTGCATCCTCTTGGACAAAACTTGAGTTGAGCAACCGATATACCTAGCTCCACAGGAGCAGGTGAATTGATAAATTCTTATTGCTCAACATTATAATAAAAAAATACTAAACCAAAGATTCCTATTGAAAAGAAGCCATAACAAAAGGGCCGATTTAATAAGGTATTTATGAGTTTGCAAACTCCACAGCAGACCAGGGAACTAACAGTGGTTGGACCTGTTTCTTCTGCACACATAGTACCGGTTGTCTCAGGCGAATCGAGATAGCCTTTGCTATTTGGAGTATGCGGTATCTGGATGATATCGGCAATTTCTTTGGTACCCGATAGATGATGAAGAAGTACTCTTCGATATCGACTTTGCGGCCAGTTTGAACAAGGTGTTCTAATATGGAGCTGTTGATGCTTCTCACAACACCGTTTATTTAACTACACAGGTAAATGTTTCTGAGTATGAATGGAACTTAATATGAATATGACTCATCAGAATTTACTACTTAAAATTCGTTGTCATTCATAACCATTTAGTTTGTAATATTGGTGTTCAGTTTAGTGCTGCAGTTTTACAAATTACCATAAACACATATATTTTGGACTATAATCTACCAGTAATATAATTGCAAATAACTTTTGTAATCCCAATCTAAATAATTCTATGTTACACTTTTAAAAACCACTAATGTTGTCATTGATATAAGCATAAAACTTGAGCACTGTTGTAGAGTATAACTCCATTATGGATAAGATTTTATGTTGATAAATTACACAGTGTTACACATTAATATTAACTGATGACCACGTTTCGAGCAGAAATTATGTTGTCAATAGCTGGCAAATTTCTACAGTTGGATGCCTATCAGCCATAAAAGAGGTCTCATCATTTCACTAGCCCATCGTACTAGAAGAATTTACAGCGATGACTGTTTAGAAGAAGAGCTCCTATTTCTCAAAAGCATCCTGGTTCAAAATGGATACCCATCGCGTTTCGTGGAGAAGAACATAAAACTAAAGCCAAAAAGAGAAGAGTGCACTTCAGTGCCAAAAAGACACTTCACTTGAATATGGAATTCAGGGGAGACCTAGCAACAGATATCTTTAAAAGGAGAATCTCCAATTCCCTGAAGAAGACTTTTCCGAAAGCAACTCTAAGAGTGATATTCTCTAGCCGCCCACTACTTCGGAGCAACGGGAAGCACATACTTCTGCATATGACCACTTCAATGTGCATATATCAGTTCACCTTCTCTTGCGGAGCTAGGTACATAAGTCGTTCTATGCGCGTCTTATCAAAACGTGTAAGAGAACATCATCCAGCATGGCTGCAAAGAGGAGACACTGGTTCAATCAGAAGCTCCATAACTGAACACCTCGTCAACCCCTGTCACAGCATCTCAACTGACTCATCATTCAGAGTCATTTACAAAGTAAACAAAAGTCTACCAAAGGCAGTGTGTTTCCGACTTCTTTGTACTGCAGAAGCTCTCGCTATATGCATCGAAAAGCTGGAGCTGAGTATTCAGAAGAAACTAGTCCAGCCTTAACAACTGCCATGGACCTAGTTCAGTACGTTCCCTTATCCTTCAGTTTTGTTTTGTTCTCTGTGTGTAATTTTATCTCTTTGTCTTCATTCAATTCATTCCATTTTTTCAGTTATAAAACAAGTCATTTTAAGTTTGTTTCCATGCGCCTCCTGATCACACTCGTAATCTGTTTAGAATAACCATTTTACGGTTATATTCTAATCCTGTGTAATTTTTTTGTTTAAATGCCTCTTGTAGTCTATATTCACACCTCATAAT